ATTTCATTTTGCTAACTGCATTGAAAATCGAGTAATAGACTATAAATAATAAATTATAAATAAAACTAGCAAGCCAGGTATTATATATTAACGGGTGATACTCGTAAAATATTTGTTTTTAAATATCGGTGCGCGTCCTGGTAGGTTATTGTCATTTATTGTAGGACCCGCCGCGCACTAGTGCGCGGCTCCCCCTGTATCCGTGTATCGTCAGGACGATACCAGATACACCATATAATAATGAAACGACCGTGGGTGTCGCAACGTGATACAAATAGGTTATAAACCTACAAGCCAGGTAAATCGAAGAATTGATCCTGGATATGACTAAAATAACAAAAGAAATGATGGAAGGCATAAGTCTCTCGATCTGAATTGTCATAAATAAAATCCAAGCCTGAGGTCCCAGTATTCACCTAAACATGTGCTTTCGTGCCAACTTGTTTCACCATTTACTGTTTCACTGCAAGCAGAAGGGCTCTGGAAAGAGCAAGTCCCAGTTGATTGACGATGCGACCCGTTTAGATCGTTGCTTTGTAAAGCACCGATCTAGTCAGGTTCGATGCTAAGCAAGAGTGCTAGTTTGCGCGGCGCGTCGAAGGACGAAGCGGCGAAGTCCTCCAAAAGTCCCAGTAAAATAGGATCGGATTGCGGATCAGCTATTTGTCTAAATAACAGCACTCGTACATTTGACTTTGTAGTGTCATACACTATTCCATTGTCGCTTCACTATAGTTACTGGGCGGCGCTCAGCCTGTCATTCCGCCGAATTTTTATTTGGGCTGAGTGAATTACGACTCCATCGACCTGAAAAAAGTGCGAATGGTCATTGGATGTTAAAGTACGTGACTCGCATTTACGTGATCGTTCACCACCAATTTGCAATTACAGTTAAACGGGTGATACTCGTAAAATATAGCTGTTCCATATATTGGACCGTCGACGAGTTCAACTCGGCGCGCGTCCTGGTAGGTTATAAACCTACAACAATTACAGCCGCGCAAAAGATCACGTGCACGCCAACTACCAATAAGAAAGAAGTGATGTCAGATGTATGCACTACAAGAGCCAAGCGCTGAGTTAGATTGTAAAATCTGATTATTTGATTATAAAATCGCATAAACGCGCCTATTTGTGCGATTTAGAGGGTTCAATTACGCCAGGCTATGTTTATGAACATAATAGCCTGGGGTCCCCAGGTAACATTATAGTCGCTTCATGCACTGTATACGAGTTTCAACGATACAGTCAACCGCGCATTCGTGCGCGGTGGGTCATACAACGTAAGTTTTTTTTTGCTATGTAAAATAAGAAAAGAATATTCAAACAATATACACATAATATAGCAATGGCCAATTGGCTGACTATAAGGTCATGGCCTGAACAAACAATTTTTTTTAAATAGTCAAGTGATGCTAAAGCAGAGCACAAATGTGTAATAAGTTAATAGATTAAAAAACTGATTCATGTGATGCATTCGCAGAGCACAGATAAAAATACTGATTCAATGATTAAAATTATAGCTGTGAGTGTCAATAAATTACTGTGTCGTAAAAAAAGGAACGATGTACACGTGATCTGAAATACCAATATCTCAATATCAAAAGGATAGTGTCTAGAAACATTCATAGTCCATGGTGGCAGGTATCAAGTTAAACGAAGTTACACTGACTGGCAATGTATACGATTGCCGTCTCCCTCTCTCACCCCTGACCGCTATCAGGGTGCTCCTGAGGATTGAGAATCTAATCCTGGTGCGCATGTAACACATAATAGCCGCATAGTCTTCTCCTCTCTTCTGGGATAGTTTTTCAGCGAGTCTCTTGTGGTATCTTGTGGCTTGTGGACCCCATCCGCCATTTGTTGAGTATATAAGTGGAGTAAAGGTGCCTTTTTCCACCTGGATGATTCTGTTGTTGTACTTTTTCATTTTCCTCATTTCATGAGCTTTATAGATCTGTTCCATATCTTTTTTGTCATATGTGGGTGAGTTGGGGTGGGTAACACAGACATCAAAGAATGTTCGTTCAAATGTGCTCCAGAGACCTCGTGAGGATACATCAGGTGCAGCTCTATCAGCATTGGTACCAACAATTTCTTCATTATCAAGGGGTATCAATGCTGGCTCAGTCACTACATCTCTGCATACTTCACGCTGCAGCTCTGCATTTAGATCGCGGATGTTGTTGTGTCTCATAGAAACATAGCCACCTTTCTTGCATATAAGTGTGTGATTCACATTATTTCTATCTCCACAAGCACAGTGAAATGGGGTGTTAGGGATCTCCCAACCATAACGCAAGTACAGAGCATCACGGAACTCAATCTTGTTCAGGGAGTAGCCAAATCTCTTCAATGGAAGTGCAGTAAGCCAACATCCTGAACCTTTCTCTTTGATGAACTGGAGGGATCTCTTTAGGTTGGGATCTCTTACACTGTCCTCTATTGATTTGCTAACCGTAAATAAGTGTTTCTCCTTGATTGCCTTGAGACTTTTTATAGTGTCATTTTGAATTGACATGTTGTAATGTTCAAGGGTGTTTTGCTGGTTGATAATCAGGTCTGTGAGGTCTTTTGTGATGGTGACTGAGGCTGTGAATTCTCTATTGCAGTTTTCAACTGGGTTGGAGATACCTAGGCCACCATGTCTGACTGGCAATGCAAATATGGAGCGGTCCAAGTCTGATACGTTCTTACCCAAGATTGCTGGAATAAAATCTGTTCTGATGCAATCCTCCAATGGTTGAAACAAGTGACTTATACCCGGGATGGTCCTCTGAATGAACGTCCACCGGTGACAAATTCCCTTAGTATATGCAGTCAAAGCAGCTTGGGGCTCCTCAATAGCAATTGATGACAACAGCTTGATGTCCTGACACCATTTATGGACTTTATCTGAGACATATTTGTTCTTAAAAACTTCGCTGCCAATTGCTGCACCCAAATGGCGTTCTCCTTCAGACTCGATTTTAATACCAGTGCCTGAGAATACTTTCTGCGCAAGATCTAGGTCCTCGCTATTCTTCACAATCAGGACGGTCTTACTGGCTTTTGGGTAATATCCATACTTTGGTCCTTGCTCCAGCAGCGTATCCCACCATATCTTAATACCTTCAATCTTTCCACCAACACTACTGTCATCTGCATACCAAGACTGTTTGCAAACACTGGGCTTGGAGGCTGTGGCAAGGTCATCTACTAGAGGCTTGATCCCTAACGCATAGAATGCCATTGCTGCTACATCTCCCTGAGTTGAACCTTCCTCAGACTTAAGTTGGTAGTGGTCCTCGGTAGTATTAATGATCAGGTCTGCTGGCTTTTGGTAGTGGTTCTTTAGATACTGATAGAGCGGAGGACAGATCTCATGAACATTGTGAAGGGCTGCTTCTCTATTAAGACGATTGAACGCATTATCAGCGTCAACCTGTAGTATTGCTTCAGTGTCACTGTCTTCCCAGATCTGTCTCATTGCATGAATGGAAGCCTCTATTCCTGATTTGAGCCCTGCACATGTCTGCAGTGGGCCAGCAGCATATTGTATATCAGTTTTGAAAGACATTATAACTGCTTTTCCAATGATTCTGCGCAATATCTCGCCGATTCCAATTGGTCTTACACCAGGTTTCCCGTTCTTATCCTGGCCTTTATCAAGAGGGATTAATCTGCATGCAGTGAACTCTTTCAGACAGCTATGATGGATATCTTCTCTACAAAGGCGCCTTGCAACAATTGCTATAGACTCAGCAAGTGTCACTGATGCTTTGCCAAATGATTTGCTGCAGATGATATGCTTCCACAAATCTGAGTCCGTTAGTGTTGGGCCGCCTGATCCATCCAAATATAAACAAGCCCTCTTGACAGTCTCTGCGTCAATCCTCTCAAATATCACTTCCTGAGGTGGAGGAGTACTGTGAGGGTGCAGAACAACTGGATCTGCTTTAACAGCTGGAGGGTGTTTCTCCCCAAGGACCTGTTTAATGTTTGCTGTTAGGCTGTGAACTCCTAAGGTGTCATTGGAACTGTCAACATATTTGGTGGCTTGTTTAACTTTCCCAAGGAGCATTAGTCGGCAGAAACTCTTCTTCCTGGATTCCTCGCTGATTTTTTGTTGCTGCACCAAGGCTTTCTGAATACTCCTGCACTCCATCATTAGATCGTCAAGTTCTCCATTTTTCCATTTAACCAAACGCTTGGTGAGATATGTTACATGGTCTCTTGCTTTTGACTTGCTTGACGGTTTTTGCAACATGATTGGCAAAAAGATATGAACCAGTGCGAACGATAGCCTTTCCCACTTGGTAGCATCTGCAAATAAGAGGATGAGCCGAGTCAGTTCTTTTATAAAGTCGCTACCTGATTTACCTCTGGGAACTAGGAAAAGATTCTTTCTCCATGTCACCATCTCTTGATAAACAGCTTGGACTTTCTCAGCTATCAACTCTTCACCAACCATTGAGCCCCAATTAATTTTGTTTGCTTTCACTGCTTGACAAGTATCACAAAACCATATCTCTTCATTATCCATCTCAGCGTACTCGGTTTCACTGATAAACAAACAAGGTGCATGGAACCATTCTTCACAGCCATCACAACCCAATGCCTTATCCGAATCCCCCACAACACTCCTACATACGGGACAGTTATAACAGATATCATTTTCCTCGTCAGGAGCATCAATGATCTGCTGGTTCTCTACATTATCCCTACATTTCTGACAAACCCACCGTTCACTGTCCACTGGTGCAGACTTGCCAAGACATTTAGGATGGAAAAATGTCTTACAGGAATCACATTGAATGCTACAAGGTTCTGATATAAGATCTTTGGGACAGATTCCACATAACAGAGAAACAACAGGTGTAACATAAGCAATACCTTCAGAAGACAGGTGTTGAGATGTCTCCGGATCACAGGTGTCTGGTAGCTGTACACTCTCTGTTTCTGCTGTCTTGTCTTCACCGCTGTTTGTTATCATCGTAGCGGACTTTCCATTGTCATACCTCAAATTATTTGTTATATAGTAGTGTTGAAAGTATTAAAACGTAAGACAACGTCAATCACGGTGGGCATCGTCCATCAAATAAACATAAAACAAAACACCATTTTATTGTTTATGGGCTGCGCGTATCAGGCTATTATATCAAAACACGATTTCAAAAAGTTTTTAGGGCTCGCATACAACGTATGACAACATTCAAGGTTAGCTTTGGATTGGTAACAACTGAGCACCATCATATCCAGTAAAAGTATTTTTCCGAAATATATTACTTAACCGATGCAAAAAGCTGCGAAGTAGCTTTTTTAAAATCTTTTTAAGCAATACATAATCGAATTAATACTATTTCAGAATAAGTGCAGTTTATATCTCCGCCAAAAGCACACTCCCCAAATTGTGCGCATTACTGTAACTTCTTTCAAACTTCATGAATTGAGATGAATTATTTACTGACGTATTTCTTCATAAAAAGCACAATGGCGTAGGATCCTTTTGTCGCTTGTACCGTAAGCCACAGCAGAAAGACATCACACTTCACAAGAATTCATGTCACCCAGAATCTGTGAAGACGAACACCGTGATCAACCTGTATAAAGAAGCGGACAAGATCTCGTCAGGACCTCAGGAGAGAGAACATTCATACAGCATTTTAGACCGTCTCATGACTAGAAACGGGTATCAAACACCCAGAAATTATTCCAACAGACGTCGTAGTAGTATTAGTAATAGAAATAGGGAGGATAACAGAACAGTGCTTAAGTTAGATTTTATCTCAGACAGTATCAGTAACAGAATTAGGAATCATATTAAACAGAACAATTTACCTATCAAAGTTATATTTTCCCCAGCTAGAAAACTAAGAAATATTGTGTGCAATAACAGACCGTATGATAAGAGAACCTGTATTATTAACTCCTGTAAAATTTGTCCTTTATTAATAACTGAAAATAAAGATTGTGAGGTGAAGAACGTTGTGTATAAGATTACCTGTAAAATCTGTAATAATATTTATATTGGTGAGACGTGCAGGAGGGCACATGATAGGCTCGGAGAGCACCTAAGATATGCTAAATTGCCTTTAACTCCTTCTAACACAAGTCAAGCTTTTGCTATTCATTACTACAGTTTACATAGGGGGTCAGAACCCAATTTAGAATTTGAGATTTTAAAAACAGAAAGCAACACAGCTAGAAGAAAGATTGCAGAAGCAATGCTTATTTTGAAGTTCAAACCTAACATTAACAAGAGAGATGAGTTAGAAACCATCAAGCGTTTTTTAGTAACAAGTACATAATAAACAGGGTGTAACATATTTTATACTTTACAGACAGGGGATTTTTTTTTTTTTTTTTTTTTTTTTTAAGAGAGGCTGGGCCAAGATAGCCCACGAGAGGATAGCATTGAGATGCTCTGCCTACCTCTGGGGTGTGGCAACCTTGGGGAAGGTTGCCGGTGAAATCAGAGTGATTGGTGGAGGATGGTGTAAGATGTTATTAAATGAGTCAAAATGATACGCTTAATGCCAGCTGGGTTTGGAAAAGTAAAACGAGACGAGACAGCATATGAAATAATACTTTAAGTCACCCCGGTCTGATCCAGCTCCTCCGGCACAATTAAGCGTTTGGTGCGGTTTGCGAAATTGACAATTGTGGTGATGTGTTGGTTGTCGAATATGTCATTGACAGAGAGGTAGTAGTCCTGGAAATATTGACCTCTAATTTGGGCAATAGCCGGACACTGTCCAAGAAAGTGTGAGACAGTTTCCTCTCCGTCGCCGCACATAGGACAAGCACTGGTGTTTGATTTGCAAATGGTGTGAAGGTGTTTGTTTAAGCCGCAGTGACCCGTGATGAGGTGAACTGCAGTTCTGTAATCTTGTCTGTTTTTGCTGAGTGTAGTGTTGAGGTTTTTGATGATTTTGGTATGCTTGTGGCCGAGTGTCAGTTTGGTGTGTCTGGGACCGTCAGTTAACCAAGTTTCCTGATTCAGTCTGTTGACTTTGTTGTCGATTTGACGCTTGATGTAGGATTGAGGAATTGGACACTTCAAAGTGGATTCACTGATTGTACCAAGCTTGGCCAGCTCATCTGCTTTTTCGTTCCCCCACAATCCGATGTGTGCTGCAATCCATCGTATCTCTAGCGTGTTGTTGGATCCGAGTGCATTAAGAGAGTCGTAACAGTCTCTTGTAGTTCTACTCCGCGTTGAAAGCGCAGAGATAGCTTGTATAGATGAGAGACTGTCAGACCATATGATGATGTGTGTGTTGGTATAGGTAGAGAGATATTTGCAAGCTTCAATGATGGCGGTGAGCTCTGTTTGGTAAACAGTGCAATAATCAGGGAGCTTGAATGATCTTTCTTCAAGGGTGGTGTTATTGTTGTCAGTTGTGATGATATAGCCAGCCCCGCATCCTGAGTCTGTGAGTGACCCGTCAGTGTAGCAGGTGATCGTTTCACTGGTAATGTTGTCAATGGTGTTTTGAAGTGAATTTCTATATTCAGTGTTATCGGCTCCAGGAGTTGTGACGGTGAAGTGCCGTCCCAGCATCATGGTTGGTGTTGTTAGGTCTCTCGTTGCTCTAGGTGGGATAATGAGGTCTGCCATGAATTGTTTGTTGATAGTGGTATGATTTTTGATAGTTCCCTTCCTGAAGGCGATAGTTTCAAGAGTGAGGCTGCCATAAGCTTGTAGCCTGGCCGCACCCTTTGCTGCTTCGCCTTGCAGGAACAGTATGATGTCAGAAGTTTCGGTGAGGTGATTCAATGCGATAAAAGGTGTGCTTGGCATGGCACCAGACATCATTCTGAGTGCCAATGCCTGCACACGTTTGAGTTTCTTCGCGTTATAGTCCGTTTGAGTGGCCCTGATCCATATACTACAGCAGTAGGATAGGATTGGACGGATGACAGCCGTGTACATCCATTTGCATGTTTTAGGGCTCATACCCCATGTGGGGCCGACAGCTCTTCGACATTGCATGAGGGATGCCGTGGCTTTTTTGGTGGTGTTGATGATATGTTCATTGAAATTGAGTTTGCTGTCCAAGGTGACTCCTAGAAATTTAGCAGACTTGGAAAGACCTATAATGTTGTTGCCAACTGTTATAGGTCTTAGAGTCCACTTACTATTCCAGGTAAACATGACTATCTGAGTTTTAAGGGCGCTAATAGATAGCTCTTTGGTTCTGCACCAATTTTCTATCGTTTTAATAGTTTTGCATGTTCGGTCCCAGATGATGTCTAAATCATCCCCTTCCGCTAGAGACAACAGATCATCCGCAAAGGCTTGCAGGTAACCCGGGATGTCTTTTGCGGTAAAGGAAAGGAGATCGTCGACTACCAGATTCCAGAGAAAAGGAGAGAGAATGCCTCCTTGGGGGCAACCTCGCCTGATCCGTACCCTTCTCGACTTATCCTTATGATTTAGTGTGATGAATCGATTGGTTACCATGTTGATGATCCACTGTGCAGTAGCCAAGTCCACTTTCGTAGCCTTGACTGCTTCAGAGATAGCCTTGAACGAGACATTGTCGAAGGCGCCCTCTATATCTAGAAAGACACCTAGGACATATCCTTTCTTGGCTATTCTGCGCTCAATGGTGTGAGTAACTTTATGAAGTGCCGCTTCTGTGGAGCAGCCCTTTTTAAAGCCGAATTGTCGTTTGTTGATATCATTAGCTATGTTGAGGTCATGTTGCATATGCCATAAGATCACTTTCTCCTGCAACTTTAACATCACGGGCGAAAGAGTGATCGTTCGAAATGACTTAGCTTTGTTGTAGTCGGTTTTTCCAGGCTTAGGGAGAAAGATTCCAAGAGAGTCCCTCCACAAAGTTGGGATGTGTTGCGTTTCATGGTTTTTTGTCATAATGTTTTTTGTTATGTCTTTGATATGAGCCCAGGCTTTCTGGAATATGATAGGTTTTAGAGTGTCAGGTCCTGCAGCCTTCAAGGGATCGAAGGATAGGAGAGCCTTTTCGATTCTTTCAGGGCTGTAGATTTTGTCTAGTAAGTCTGTGGAGATCGGTAAGGGGCAGAGAGGCGGAACTGGCGGATCAGTAACACTCTCCTTGAAGTGGGTTTGTGTCATGACCTCCAGTGTCTCCTCTGCGTTTTTGGTGAGTTCGCCATTTGGTTTATAAACGGCTTCAAGTTTGTTATTGGTGTCAGTACAGGTTTTCAGAATCTTGTTCATCCTTCCAGATTCCTTAACCGATTCTGTGTCTGCGCAGAATTTCCGCCACGCATTGCGCTGGGAGTTGGACAGGATCTTGTTGTATTGCTTGTTGCTTTCTCTAAGAGCGAGCCACGAAGCATCAGTTTTGATTCGACGAGCTGTGATGAGTTTGCGTCTTATACCCCTCTGTGCTTCCTCAACTTCTCGAGTTAGCCAGGGTGGTTTTCTGACAGCGCTGGAGATGTAAGTAATGGGACATGCCTCCTCAAAGGCAGCTCGGAGAGCAGTATTAATGGTGTTAACTTTGTGATCAATGTCGTGTGGTGTGTTAACGCAGGTGTTGTGGAGATCATTGTTGTTGTAAAGAATCTCGTCAAATTTCGCCCAGTCAGTGTTCTTGACTAGGCGTATTTGTCTTGGTTCTTTTTTGGGACCAGAAGTAATGTCGAACATGATATATCTGTGATCGGAGTTTGAGTAAAGATCACTAACGTGCCAGTTACTGATCAGTTCAGCCCCCAGTTGGTTGGTAATAGTGAGGTCAATGATGGAATTATGACCTCGTGAGTTGAGGAATGTTGGAGTTGAACCTTTGTTGGAACAGGAGAGCCCTAGCGACGAGAGGAAATCAAGTAGTTCCTCTCCTCTTCTATTGCACAACTTGTTACCCCAAAGAGTGTGTTGGGAGTTGGTGTCAGAGCCTATTATGAGTGGTAAATTGTTGTCTATAGCGTATTTGGCTAGAGGTGTGGTTTCGTGGGATGGAGCTGGTCCATTAATATCCATGTACGAAGCTGCCAGAATTACTTCTGTCGAGCTAAGTTGAATCTTAATAGCAACTTGATCCGGGGT